TTGTCATAGTTAGGTGGTACTTGGTGTTTAAGTCGGTTCTCTTGGTGTAACATACATGCCTTAAGCCTGCTTAATGACTCAGCAGTCATGGACTCATGAATATCTTTTTGCAGGGCTTTTTGAACTTGGAAAGGGGACACAATAGCCCATCAAGCCTCCTTATTATAGCAGTATGTTTGTGACCATAGGCAACACTGGCCCACTGAGCTCGGATGTACCCTCATCTACGGTCACCAGGCTGTGTGTGGGTTTTGATATGACCACACTCGACCATTTGTACTGTGCTATGCTTATCTTTGTGCTGTCAGAAATATGTCAGAATAACAAAATAACTTTAACAGTGGCAACTTGTGAGACATAAAAAGTTACTGGCTTAGTTCCAGTTTAAGAGGCGGCTGGTGACTGTGACAGAGAAATGTGTTATGACAATAAAATATGGTCTGTGTACCTCTGTGTTTTGCTCTCCCGACTGCGAACACGTCTCCGTCATCTTGCCAGACCCCAAGGGAAGCCTATTTAAGGCAGCTGTGCTGGGACAGACTGGCCAGGATATGGGAAGGGGCCAGCCACTGCTGGCCCAGGAGAAAGCTTACACAAACACAGCTACACAAAGCTCTGGTCATGTTGTTTCAGTGGGAAAAAAAAGTCTTTAGATTCTCTGCAATTAAGGAGAAAGATTTTTTAAAAAATGGAAGAGCTAGGAAGCAGAGTTTTATAGTACAGTAAATAATGTTCAACTTGACAGCTTATACTCAGGAAAGGAGAGGTTAACTCAAGATCCTCAGTTGTTTTAGGAGTTTATGAGCAATATAAAATACATCACCCCTCTTCCATGAGTGAAATATTATGAATAGTCATTCTTTGCAAATAGTTTTTCTTCTGCATGAGAAAATGTGTCTTTGTTTTCACTGCAATGAAAACACAAAACTGTTACAATGAAAACTTAATGCACGAAAACTTTAGAGTTAACGTGCCTCTTTCTATCTCTTAAAAACAAGCTCATAAGGCATTGTATTACATGCATATTCCATTTCATATATAAATCTCTTCATTCCCACAGACTAATAGAATGACAACAGAGGTCAAGAAAACAGAATATTCGGTTCTCAGAAGGCTAAGAATTTAGAGGCATATAAAAACGTCTCTGGAAGTAAGATTTTTGAAAAATTATACACATATAAACTGTTAACTGTTTTAGAAAGCATGTTTAACTACAGGCCAAAGAGTCTAGGTTTGTTAAAAAGCCCTTCCTGATAACAAGACTTGTTAAAGTGAATGGATTACTGAGCAGGTCTTCTTAGGCCAAATGAAGAATGTTGTTTTATGATATGATGGACCTGGAATGTATAAACATTCAGAATAATCCAGCATTTTCCCCTCAAAAAAACCCAAAAAAAACAAAAAAACTCTTCTCTTTCAAATCTAATGGGAAGACCGAGGATTTTTTTTCAAGTTCAATTTACTCAGCTTTCTAGTCTTAATATGGCATGATTTTTAACTCACTTTTGTCAACCACCTTGACTGAGATCATAGAATAGCCTTTGGTAGGTTTACCAAGGGTGACTCCACCCATGAGGATAGGTAGTTTAAAACTTCCTGAGATCTCAGATGCTTGACAGTTGAAAGTTAAAACTAGGAAACTGCCAAGATAATTTTCTTTTATGTTGTATTTAGAATAAAGTGGGGTTATTCTTTTCATAAAATATATCAAAAGGGTCAGATGGTGGAGATTTTTATGCTAATATTATGTAGACAAATTTACTCTTCTCTTTAGGCAAAGTGACCTCAGGCAGGTTGAAATTCTTGGTTAGTCTGAGTGAATGAGTCCAAAAGCACTGCCAAAGGCCACAGCCTCCAGGGCAAAGGTATGGGCTTATGAGTCAGACAGGCCTGGGTTGAGTCCCAGCTCAGCTGACTAGGTATGACCTTGGATAATCAACCTCTTTTTCTTCTGTTCCTAACATGTAAAGATAATAAGACTATATATACTTGAGACTAACATTGTAAATTGCAGTGACTACATTTCAATAAAAAATAAGAATTTAAAAAAATTTTAAAAAAGACTGTCTACTCTTTAGGACAGTTAATGAGGCTTAAATGAGGTAACAGATTCAAACACTTACTCATTCTAATTGATAGAGTTTAGCAGAGAACTGAACAGTATTAGTGGTTTAGTATTACATTTTGTATTCGTTTTTAGACCTGTGATTTAGGACTCAATTCCCTGACCAACCCCATTCCTGTCTGATCCTCTGAAGTTAGAAGTGAAGTTAGAAAGTGCCACATGGTACCTAAGGAACCATTTCTCATCTGCCTCTGGCAACATGTACAGGATTGTCTATGGAAGCCAAGGGGCTTTTTTTCTTTCTAAGATCTCTCAACCAAGTTCAAAGACTTACCCTTCCTTCCAAAGAATATGAGCTATAGTCACAGTTTATGACGTCATATTTGCTATGCTTTGTTGTAGTTGCTGAAATATTCACAACCTCAGTTATTGCTTAGATCTTAAGAGAATTACAAGGGGAAGTTGAACCCCATTCTTCAGTAAAATGCAGAACTAGGAGTAGTCCCATTGGGCAATAAAAACATGAAAAGCTTAAAAAAATACATCTATCGTGAGACCATTACAAAGTCAACCCAGATAATCACCCATATTTTAATCTATGAACATCTCTAGCCAAGGATTTACAAAATTACATTCAAGTACATTACAATATTGCCTCAACTCCAAGATGCCATTAAAAAGTTTTTTACACTTTGGAAATTGGGATGTGTAAAGTTATGTTGTGGTGGTACTTTTCCTTAAAAACTGAACTTAAACCAATAATATATCTTGCAACTGATGGGGTCTTAGACTTAAGTAAATATGAAATTCTAAAATTATCTTGCTTTGTGATGTTACCTAAGGTGATTACTGTCACTTTGTGTTAACTTAATTATTGGCGAAAGGGACAAGTTGAATACATGATGAAAATAATTTAAAAGGCTTTATTAAGATTAATGATACACATGTACATGTGGATCTTAGAGCCATCATTCTAACTGATATTTGGACTTTATATGTTTCAGCTTTACTTTAAAGGTCCCTCAGAGTTCTGCAAATATGATAGGAAACATTATATTTGTAATTGCAAAAGATCTCAAGGAGAGAAAAAGCCTCCCTAAGCAGTTCTGTGAAACCCCTTTCCTCATAGTCTCAGGGCACCTCTTTCTTTTGAGGGTCCCTGGGTGGCAGCCATGCCCATCAGTGCCCGGGCGCAGGACCACACATTCAGATGGTCCTACACAACAGCAGAAAGCTGATATACACAGCACATGATAGGTATTCAGTATTACTTCTGGCTCACTGATATGAAACACAAACTGTGTTCTAATTAAGAATACATACAGCTTTTATCATTTAGGGAAAGCCAAATTTCTAAAAATATCCCCTTTTTCCTTTCTTTTTCCCCCTTTTCTCCCACTCAAAATCCTTTGGGTTAATTTTGGGATTAACTTTTATACAAGCAAAAGCCATCAATAAATCAAACCCTAAAAGTTATTTTCCCCTTGAGCAATAAAAACACTTTTTTTTTTCTGTTTTGGTAGCAAACATGAAAATTCCCACAGCTGAAGGTAGAATACCACTTTCGCAAAACATTGGATCAAAGACGGAAAACTCAATGGTAAAGTTAATCCAATGAAATATGATGTCAAAAACTGATGATGTGAAACACTGATCTAGAACCAATTGACTTTAAACAAATGAAACTACCGACAATGATTATCCTTAAGCACACTGACAACCCTTAGCAACAATGTAGCAAGTTGGTTGGCAAATATTTTAATCAATTAAATTGAAAAACAATAACCAATATGTAATTAGAAAGAAAAAAAATATAAGAATATAAAAAAGGAAGAGAAAGGGGGGAAAGGAAAGGGGATTTTTATCTTATTTAATCCAAATTTAAAAGAAAATCCTGACTGCGAAACAGTTACATTCTAAAAAAAAGTTCTTTGAATGCTGACAATAGGCACAGAATCACCTATTAGATCCTAAATAAAAATTATTTCTATGCCTGCTGTCCGCAAACTATGATTAAGGAGCATACTCCAGATACCACTAAATCCGTTTCCTTATTTGTTACCTAATCCCATCACAGCTAACTGAAGATATAATAACCACAGAGCTTACAGACAGGAGGGAAAAGGATCTGCTTTTGCCCATTTTTTAACCCACTTATACAGAAAGAAAAAATCAGCTAAACTATATGCTTGATTTTTCAAAACTAAAATAATATGAAAGGCCTCTCACTTTTTCCTTCAACTCTGATAAGCATAATAAAAACATTGCTTTATTTTTCTTATATGTTTGACCCAATAGCTTCAGGAATTCTGAAATAGTCTATATTAGGCTTCACTGAAGAAAGAGGGATTATCTGCATAATTTCTACTGCATCCAAAGAAATCTTTAAGTAGGTACAGAGGATTCATCATCAGGAGGCATATATTTACCTAGCAGGTATGCATGTTGTTTTAAAACCCTCTACAAATATTTCTGAGTTATAAAATGTAGGATGCATTTTGGCTTAATACCCTGTGTTCGGTACACTGTTATTTGGAGTTCTGGTATTTGCATTTTTCCAAGAACCATGGTTAAGAATAAAAGGCAGAGAAAACTGACCACTTCCTGCCTCCAAATAATGTCATACTCGCCTATGCTTAATTGATTTACAAGCTCAGATAAATGATAAACGCTATTTTCAGGTAAGCTGTGAATTATATTGAATGACTTTGAAAAAGAAAAGCCATGGCTTAGTTTGTTACCGAAGGAAGGCCTTGCTTAAAGTTCATGTCAACTTTCCATTCTGCAAAGCAACTCATCCACATAAAAATAGTCAAAAAGGACTTCATTTAATTAGTGATATATAGACTTTTGCATAGAAAAAGGTTACAAAGTAATGCAAAAAAAGACTAGGTACAGTAATTTTAAAACAAATATTTAAAAGTATAATTTTGCATAATGTTTAACATTCTCATAATGTTTATTGCTTTCTCCACACAGCAGAGAAATGAAGTGCATAATAATACATGCTGTGTCTTTATCTTTCAAACATAAAATCTCATGTGCTCAATTTCAAAGTATTAAGAGATTATTTTGTCATTAAACAAAATAAAAACAATAAAACCAAAACACCATTATGTAGCACTAGTCTAGGCATGGACCAAAATAATTTATGTACATCTCATTGCATACATTCATCCTGATTTGGGATCAAACACAATCACAGATTTGACAAAGAACACTTAAAAATTGTGGCTTTTCTCTTCCCAATGCTCTCTCCTTCTCTCATCACCTCCAGAAATGCAGCTTCTCCCCACAAGGTGACAAAAATAGATCTGACATGTTACCGGGATGAAGTGAAGAGGATAAATATGTCAAAATTATCCAAATGAAGCTGAATAAATTAATCTACACTTTTACAAACTGGAGAGTTTTCAAGTTGGTATGAATCAAATAGCCTCTGGTGGGCACACAGCAGGCAACTGCTCCTAGGTGCACTTTATAAAACGTAGCTACGGTTTATATAAAGAAGCACCATATTTTGAGCCATGAAAAAAAAAATATTTTGAGCCCTGGGGGTTTGCAGGCAGGGCAGAAATGCTTGTTAATCTGAGCACTGATGTAATAATTGCTTATACTAATGCACTGCTGAACGTCACCCCTTGGCAAGTCTGTACAAAGAAAGCAAACTAAGATAAAACTTGAACTTGAAAATTATTTATCCTTTTGGCCAATAAAAACCTGTTGGTTTCAAAAGAGTGCTCTTCTCTGGTACTGTGTGAAAATGTCTGCAGCCTAATGCAAGACTTCCATGCTTCTCCTTTCTTAACCTGACCTCTTTGCTCTTCTTTACTTGTGCAATGTTGTACGCTCAAAAGAAAACTTGATTAGTTCAGGCACTTATGACACATGAATATTTTTTTCCATCTAGTTTCAAGAGAATTCAGTCACGGCTTTTTCTTCCCCAATTCAAACATCCTGATGCTTGGCGGGATAGTACGGTCCATATATTTTCCGGGAAACTTCTAAAGGGAAACAAGTGTGAAGTTTTCAAAAGTTGCTGATGTCAGTTACCAAACTGTCTTAAACCAAAAAAAGAGAAAAAAGATAATAATACCACATTTCTACTTGTGAGGTTTGTGTCTCAAATAGCGTTCTCGTTCCTTTGTGGACCTTCAGACATCTGTATGGCTGCTTTCAGGGTGCAGAGATTTTAAGCTGACTCTGAAATGAAGGACATTCAGTGACTACTGCAAGAAGTTCAGTGAAAACTTAAAAAGCTCCCACTTCTGTCCCCCAGGGTCGGTAAGGTTTACTGTTTGTTCCGCTGCTTGTCTGCTGAGGGCTGGACGTGGCTGATACCGACAAGGGCGGACTGATGGCCGTGGCCGCTGCCACTGCCGCAGCCGCGTTTGGGGGGAGCATGGGGAAGGCCCCAGCGAAGGACAGCGGGAAGCTGTGCGCAGCGGCCGTGGCAGCTGCGGCGGCCGCGTGGACAGTGGCTGAGAGAGACAAGAGAGAAGTGGAGAGAGGTGGCACGCAGGGGGCGACACTGCCCGTTGACGGCATCCGAAGGGCGGAATCTGCGTGGGCAAACGTGGCCGTGAGGAGGGCGGAGCCGTGGGCAGGAGGCACTTCTGTCGTGGTGGAGAGGCGACAAGGCGTGGACTCCGACGCGTGGAGTCCGTTGGGTTGGAGCAGGGCTGCGGGGAGATGGTGGAAGGCCGCCGCCCAGTGGTGCGGATGCAGCGGGTGGTGGTGGTGGGCCAGAGAGGAGGTCATCGCCACCGCCTCCCGCTGCGAGGCGCACGTGCTGAGATGAGAGACCAGGCGCGCCCGCAGCGGATCGGAGGAGTCCAGGCCTTCCACGGAGCTCAGGTACCTTGCCACTTCTGTTAAGCACTCTCGGAATCCAATGCTCATGAAGTCCATAGCAAGAGCATGTGCGTCAAAGTAACCTAAAAGGAGGTGTGCGCAAAGTGGGGGCCAGGAGAGAGTGAGAAAGAGAATGATACAGTTACAAGGAGTAACCACCACTTACGTTCCACTCTGTTCTCCACAGATTTAAGTAGAAGGCCGATCCTTTCTGAAAACATTGCCAGCTATATATGGTTGTAATTTTGGCAAAAGTTAATAAAGTGTACTTTGCAATTCACATGTGCGACAACTCTGGCAATGCTATATACTACAGTTGTTCTTGCACCCAAATATCACAGTGGGGGAAAAATTAAGAACATCTGTGTTTCAAACACTTCCAGGAAAAAAAAAATGTGGTGTCTCTTCTTTTGTATTGTGGGACACTGAAATTCTCTAGAAAACTTTTTCACGGTAATGCAGAGTAGCAGTCTCTCTGTCTCTGTCGCATGACTTGGAGATTAAAGGGTTTATCTGTAACACTCTTGCTCTCCTGGCATTTATAAGAGATGTGAAATGCATATGAGCAGTTTGAGAACTTTTTTAGAAATGTGCTAGAAACTCTTAATAAATTCACAAATGCTTCTTGACTCATGATTTTTTTGGGCAACAAAATGAAAACATTACTTTCTATGAAAAAAAATCTGAAGAAAGCAGAATGATTAAAAAATTTTGGTTATGAATTTGAAGATCTTAATTTTCTATCAGGCAATAAAAAGCTTCTTTACTGATATGAAATTACTATAACTCCTAGTTTTCCCGAAGTTCAAATATGTATTTCTTTCATTGGTTAGCTTACTTTTTCCTGGCTTCCACCCAAGGAATAATGTATATTAATTTTGTCAGTGTGTATGCTGATACTCCCACAGCTAAGGTTACTACCATAAAAATAGCCAGAGTTGATCATGTTTATAAGAAGCTCTTTTTATCCAACAATAATACATTAGAACAGAAAAGAATAATGTCACCACTTTGAATTAGTAACCTCTAATATGTATAAGCATATCCTTTTCAGATTTTTTTCTCATTTGCAACTATTCCTTTGGAGCAATTTTCAAATTAAAAATTAGTCTACTCACTTTTGAGGTATATATACATAAATGACAAATATCACATTCAAAAAAGGTTATTTTCATCTAAGGCATTTACGTGATCTTTTTTATATTTTTGCAGATCAAAGTATTATCTGTATCATCTATTAACAATTAAACTTACTAATTATGTAATCAAAGTGCTTTGGAAAATAGTAGTCACAATATTTAAAGTCCTAGAGCTTGAATTCCAATAGAAATTTGTAACTCCCCAAAAGAAATTATGAGCAAAATGTATACCATTAAGATAATAACAAAAATAGCACAAAGCTGATATAACAGGGTACCACGAAATGTGGAAGATCAGCAACAAAAATGGTTATCATCCCAGGACTTCAGCATTGTTAGCAATAAAGCTCCTCGCCTTTGGAGAGAAAGCTCTTCCTGAAGAAGATGCCTACAAAGAAAGATGTCACAGAAGAGTCCTCAGGATTCTCTGTAAGGCTTTGCAGGCTTCTGACTTCCAGAAGAAGAAGGGAGGTAGTAATCAGAATAAGCAGAGTCTAGAAACCCAGAGGGATGTAGAAATTTAGGTTACTCTACTAAATCCTCTCTAGAAACGGCTGCAATACCAAGATAAAGAATAGACCAACAGAACTGAACCTCAGGGGCCTCCAAGAATTTTCATTAGTAGGCACAAGGTAATTGAAATTTGTGACTTGCTGGCTGTATGTTGTTGTATATGGCTGAGTTCTCTGGTGCATCTTAAGGAATATAAATTATGTAATTCCTATTCTATTGCTGAATGCGGAGGGAAATGACCATAAACAGCTGTTTCCTGTAAATGGATCTTGGGCCAACAATAATAGCACACAGGTCCCCACCACTTCCATCACTGCTCTACGGGCTTTAAGTGAATAAACTCACAACAACCTGGTGAAGTGAACACTCTTCACTGTCCTCATTTTACAGTGAGGAAACTGGGGCTCAGAGAGGGTTAGTCATTTACCCAGGGTCACAGAGCTAAAAAAGTGGCAGAGGAAGAATTTGAAACCAGGCAACCAACTGCAGAGTCTCTGACCTTCACCAGTACATTTTGAGGCCCCCATAGCAGTTGTGAGTCTTTAACAATTTGAGCCCACACAGCCAGCCCCTCTTCTTTGGGGCCCACATGCTCTCCTGCCAGATGACCTCTCTAATGACCTGGCAGTCAGGTGACGTGTATGAAGTTTGCTAGGAAATGTCTGTTCACAAACTATTTTGGGATGAATTTTAGGACTGTTCAGGTAGCCAAGAATAGCAACCAAGATAGAACTTAGCTCTTATAATAAGGTGTAAGAACAAATATTACTCTTTAAAAGCATTGCTAATGCCAAATATTTGAAATGCTGATAAAAATTCTTAGTCTTGTAGCTAACAATGCCAAGGGGAGTAAAAAATCAAACAACTTCCTGCACCATCGCTGACTTGATCAGCCTCCTCACAGCCTGAGGTCACAACTGTAGAGACAGAATCACAGGGCTGGAGGGGCCTTGAAAGCTCCAAGTGCGAGTGTAGACCTCACAGTGCAGCCCAGCACTTCTGTCCAGGCTTAAAGGCGAGGCAGTGGCCAAGGTGGGCTCTTCTCTATTATGCAAGAATATTTGCATCTTACGCTGAGGGTAACATTTTATTAATGAGTAGAAACCACAATTCCATACCCATTCAGGGTGGTTATTCATGCAGGATGGTTCCCTGAGAAAGTACAACAGAGGGTAAGTCACACCCCATGTGGGAGGGCTTCCCTTTACAATGATCACCCCCCACCTAACACAGGAAGAAGATGGTGATGGTCAGGGATGATATTCTACAGGTCCTCAGCAGTATGGCCGTTCTGGAGTTAAATACAGAAACATTCGTATACCAATTAGCAAAGAGCTACTCCCCTTCAATGCCCTGCCCCTGCTCTGATCTAGGGCAAACTATGACACCATGTAGTCAAAGGCTGATGCTGAGCAGAGAGAAGCCTCCAGGGTGCAGCTGACGCAGTTAGCCTCCTGTGGTACCCTCTCCTTATCCAGTTATCAAATATATGGAAAAGCATCCTTGGCTAAGATGAATACCAAGGCCTGCTTGAAGGGTGAAAAGAATACAGAAGGGCAAAATCAAGTCTGAACGGTGTGTGAGAAGTGGGATAATGAAATGGGAGTGAATAGGACAGCTTTCGGGATCTCAGGTCCATTTTTAGCATGGAGTAAGGGTCCATCCCTGACCCCCTGGATGATTCCTCCCAGAATCATTATCCAGGACAGAAGACATCTCTCCAGGGCACTGGCCCAGGGCATCTGCTCCTCTTGGCTCTCCACAGGCATGACACAGCTCCAGCAATGGTTTCCAGGACAGAGGCTCACTACCTGCACTTCAAATGCTCTGTGTGGTCTAAATCCAAGACCAACCAAACTCTGAGAGCAACAAAGTACATAATTCTAGACTCACTTCTTTCAGAATAGCTGTATTATATTGACTCCCATCCCTGATGTAATGGAGGGAGTGGGTGAAGGGAAAGAAAAGAAAAGAGGATTGCTTCTAACCTCCTGTTTATGTTTGGATGTTTGTGTGTTTGTTTTGTCTTTCTGTACAAATTCCAGCATGCGCTTCTGAAAGTCCCAGACAAATCTCTGACCAGGCTGCTGTGAATACAGCTTTACTCCCACAGTATTATGAAAGCAAACACAAGCCCAGGGTCAAGTGCTTCTTTTGTTCCAGAAGTTCTTTCCCACGAGTTCAATCCTGCCATTAGCATTGATTTCCACGGCTTTAATCTGGGACCTCCTATCTCAGCTTGTTAAAAAACTGTTCCACTATGACTTCCTTCCAATCTTAGGGAGAAAAAGTGAAAAGAGAAAGGTGGAAAGGGGGAAAAAATGAAGTCATCCACTTACCTTTACCCCCGGTTGCCTGGAGCATCTTTAAATGATCCACTGTCATCTGCAATATTTCGGCTTTTTCTAACTTTGCAGAGCCCTGCACAAACAAATAATAAAGTCTTAGAAGTCCTGCAGAAATGAATTTGGAAAAATTTACTCTGAATTTTCAATTTTCCACCTCACTAGAAAATTCTGAATTTAATTTTTTCACAGAAAAATGTGAGTTTTTTCCTGCCTTTACATACAAACACTAATTATGTCACACCCAATGCCATTTTAACTTTTAAAGACTAAGAGGCATAATAAATAATTTTAAATCACAAAAATAATTTTACTATGAGCATTCCACCACAACTATTCCAACCGCAAAAGTCTCAAGTTTTGCATCCAATTCTGTCGTGGTTAATAATATACTTTATTTTATTAGGGGATGTACTATACTCTTACATAACATAAGTCTAGATCAGTTGAATCCAACTCTGGAGTAAAAGGAGATAGGATCTCATCAAATTATTGTTAAAAGTGTATTTTTCAAAAACAGAAAATTCTAATTTGCCTTTAAGGTAATTCATACGACACCACTGGTAAGTAAAACCAAAAGTGCAAAGGGAAGACTTTCAAGGATTTTTTTTCTCCCCAATAATTACCAGTAGGTGTCACTGTAAATTCCAAGACCATAAACAAGAAAGCATAATCTACCTCTTCTCTAACAAGCATCAGAAATGCTTAAGGATATTTGAACCATTTAAAATAGTTCTTAATAAAATTATCTTGGAAATGTATTTTATGTGCCTTCCCCCATTTAAAAACAAGGCAACCCCTGGAAACCAAACCAATTTAAATACAAATATGCCACTTCAAACTGTCTCAGAGGGCTGTGGATGGCTTCTAATTTCTTGGAAGAGCTAAATAATTAAATCAGTATGTTTTTTTTTTGAAAAGGAAACTGAAGTTTATTTCAGGTTCCTATGCTTTACTTGTTTTGTGACAATTGTCAGCACCCAGTACATGGTGAGAGTGCCAGAGTTATTTCAACTGCTCAAAAGAACACTCTTCTAATCATCCTGTGATGGGGCCAGCTCACTAGGGTTGGTCGCCAAGCTCAGCAAATGGGAAAGCCTGTGTTTATGGTAACTAACTGCCAGACAACTGAGGTTGGCTTTTAAGGTTTAAGTTGACATTTAAGGGGAAAAAAAAAATCTAACAAACCAAGAAAAAAAATCACCAAACTTCTCCTCATAACTGTAGACATTTCAGTACGCAAAGTAAAAACCTCACTGATTACTGATATTTTCATTTTCAGCCTATTTTCATGAGAAACGCTTCTAATTAAAACTACCATTTGCATGTCACGTTTAACTTATCAAAGACAGTTTCAGCCTATAGAATGCGTGCCTTTTTTTCTCTTAAAAATGTATAACCAATAACATATGACATCTTGTACTTCTGTCAATGTTCAATTTTTCCTTGAAGATGAACAGTAGTTTCAATGAAAGTGACTAATAACAAAACTGCAGTTTCTGGATAATTTCCAAGGGCTTTGTAGAGCTTGCTTTATAATGTTTGTGGTTCATGAAGCGAACAACAAAATGAAATAAACAAACAACTGCTGTCCTATGCCCTATTTGAATTTAATTGAAAGTATCTCAACAAGTTATGAGATGCCATATTCTTCATAAGATGCTCTTAGAAATCTGACCATTCGCCATCACGGTGGGAGGAAAAATATAACTTTTCCAAAACAACAAAGGAAGATTCAAACGTTTGGCTTCCTACTTTACTAAGTGTGCAAAACCTTTTATTTTTTTGGTGAAGGAATACTTGAATTCTCAAAAGGGGAGTTTATGGCTAGTTTGAGTTTTACCAAACTTCCACAAAGATGTCTCAAATGTGACATCATTCTATTAACCCAGAGATTAAAAATGAAACCAACTGGTTTGGTAAATAAATTTTGTTAGTATTATTTTTAGGAAATGGAGCTAGAGATGTTACTTCTTCAGCTTTCGTTACTTTTTAAAATAAAAAGCTTACTTTTTTTCAATAGTTTGGGACAAGAATGAAATTTCACATATGATACATCTTTTTAAAATTTTTTTTTAAAAGAGTACTACACACAGCTTGGTTTTTAAACAAAACCACTACTGGTATTCATAGAAAGAACAGAGAAAGCATGAACATGTTACCCTTAAGGGGAAAATAAGCTAGAGAATGGAAATGTTTTTCAACTTCATGATGGATTATGTTTTTAATAGTTTTGCCACAACAAAGCATTTTATTGAAATAGCTGCTCTGTGCCAGATCAGGGCACATACACCATTATTTTAATGAGCTTTAACAAGAACCCACATTCCCAGATGAGAGAATCAGATTTTTTGAGCTCTTTGGTGGGGTGGTCAGGGGTGGGGGCGGCTTACTTGTTTTTCAAAAGCGGTTGGCACCAGTCGTCTCAACTCTGATAAACTGTTATTTATCCGATCTCGACGCCTTTTCTCTATTATCTATCCCCAAAAAGCAAAACAACAAAAGTCTATGAATACACAAATAATAAAACTGCTCATCATGGAAAAATATAACTGCTACACATAAGGCTGGATTACATGAAATAAAAAGAAAAAAAACCACATACCCCTCTCCTTTTCTTTCTTGCCATAATCTGAGATGTTGTCGTTGGAGAATTCGATCTAATCACAGAGCTAGTACTTTGCCTAAGAAGTAAGGAGAGTTTGTCAGGTGCTGTATTAACATAACAATGTTTCTTCTGGGTGCTTGATGGTACATATTAATAAATATTCAGAGTGATGGCACAGGTCAGGTCCGTGTTATTTTATTCTTAATTCGTGCTCTTAACATATTTAACATGCTTTCAGCCCTTATATCTCTTTTCAGGTAGGAATCATGCCTTTTTTTCCCCCCCTTTTAATCTTAATGAGTCATCCAGACGCCAAATTCACTGGCAAAAACATCCCTAAACTTTTATTAGGTCTCCCAGTGAAATAATTATGGGGAGTCAGGTGAGAAGTTAGATATTAGTACTTCCTGGTTCCACTCATAAATGTTTCTTAAAAGTCAGCTAATCTCTAATAGCATCCCTCCTCCTCCCTCTGGTCAGACCCACTGAACAAAGCAAAGCTCTTTTAAAGTAAGGGCCATGTTTAGCACTACTATAACAGATACACCGTCATCACATGTTGTTCCTAGATGCAATCTTCAAAATAAACAGGTTACCTTATTATTTCAAAACTTCAATTAGTCACACAGGAAAAAAAATGACAAATTCAATGTTTTCTACACTAATCTACCAAAACAATGCCCACAAATTAAAAATGCCACTGATAGAAAAATCAAAATTAGATCAACTACTAGGTAAACGTTTTACTTGAAAATAAAACCCTAGGTATCTCTCAGCCTTCAATCTAAGGTTAAACCTCTCAGAGTTGTAATCCATCTTGAGTTTGCTAATGAAAAAATATTTTATATTGAAAGTTCAATCACATCGCTACTCTGTCACTTGTAACTTTTACGACCCTTTTTAGGATGTATCTGTTTCTCTTCCTAATTCACGGATACTCTCCTTCTTCATGTTCTCAAATTCTCCAGTTTCCTGTTATTTGTTCTCTCTCATTTTAGAAATGTTGCACACACCAGGTTCTTATTACCTCACTTTCTCACTTCTGGATCTTATTTCTGAATTAACTGCTCCCCTCATTCCCACCCCTTCTCAACTGGTTTTACCTTTCACATGACATCTTTTGTTTTTCAGATCTTATTTTTTAAGATGACACAACCACACTTTAATAATTAGAAGATACTTTGCAAACAACGTTTCATGTGAGATATCTTTTCTTCTGCCGGTTCCAGGCTTTGGTCTGCATATATTAGAATAATAATATTGAAAGAAAACCAGTTTTTCAAAGGTAGAAAGAATTCTGCTCTTTGAATGACAGTTGCAGATAAATAATTAAGGCGCTTCTGGGGATGCCAATTAGAAGCAATTATCATTTGACCCGCCTTGGCACTAAAACGCCTCCGTAACTTCCCTCTGTCACTGGAGTTAAGGTCTGGCTTCCGTGATCACGACCCCGATCTTTTCCAGACTTAAGAACAAGCAGTCAAAGAGGTGATGCCCTTACAGCTGTCACTCACTCTCCCGTCAACCAAGTCACACACGATCAACCCAGAGATTTCAACCTATTTAGCCTTGACATCGCAAATTGATTTAATTTCTCCAAAAAGCAAGTCATCTTTCAGTCTCTTAAAACTGTTTTTCAATCAAATTTTTTTCTCTTCGCCTGGCCCATTCTGAAAGTGCTCCCAAATACAGTTTCGGTGGCGGGAGCGTCGCCGGTCGCCCGGACGTGCCAGTCCGCGCGCCCAACGCTGACAGCCCGGGACCCTCCTTCGCCAACTCCTGCACTCTTTCAGTCGCGTCCCCCGTCCTCTCCGCCCCACCCCTAGAGTGAAAACCCACATGCCTCGCCCCACCCCAATGCACGCTTCGTGAGCGCCCACCACTCAAAAGTTTTTCGGGCAAAACTTTCCCGTTCAGTTAGAACGCCGCGGAGAGGAACCTCGGGATTTCCAAGGAGCCGCTGGTACACAAAGCTCCCCGACGCCTCTGGCTCCGGACAGCTCCCGCCGAGCCCGCGCTCACCCCGAGTAATTGTTCTCGCTCCCCACGTCGATGGTCTCGTCCATGTCGCTCTCAGAGGTCGTCTCCTCGCAAGGGCGCTTCATCGCGGCGAAGACCGCGCGGGGCACAGCCAGTCCCGAGGCACGGACGCTAAGCGGGACGCAGCGCCCTCCCTGCCTGTCTCCTCCCTCCCTGCCTCCCTCCCCGCCTCCTCCCTCCCTCGGCCGGGGCAGGCGCGGCTCCGGCGGCGGCGCGGTCGGCTCCTCGCGGCTCTTTC